TATTCACATGAAAATTCTATATTCGTCCTTCCTCCAACATGCTAGTGAGTCATCAGAAGAAAAAAAAAAAAGAAGACGATGGGCAGGTTCCAAGTGCTAAAATAAAGGAATTGCTTTGGAAAAAAATACAGGTTTTCATAAAAAAATGGCACCAGAACATTGCTGTAGTTAAATCAGCTTATCAATTCATTTGATGATGATGTGTTTGGACACTTTTGGAAAAATAAAACCAGAAACAAAACAAATAATTGATAACTTGCTACAAACAAAAACCAGTGCTGGTGAAGTGTCTAAAAATGCTAATGAATGATAAGGACATCAATCACCAGAAGCGACATTAACTGATGTCATAATGGAAGATGACAGATTTTCCAAACAATAGTCATTTATTGTTCATCTAAGAGGTACATTTCTGATTAAATTTTATTTAAGTAGGGCTGCAGTACATTAGCGTCATTAAGACGAGTAAATCTATGTCATAATAGGTTAGTTGCGTATCCTTTACAGGACGTTGCAGAACCAATTCAGCAGCCCCTGGCTGTTGTGTGGTTTTTCTAGGCAAATTTACGTCCAGTAGTTTGCCATTCTTTTCTGGACGGTCGGCTCTTTTGATACCACTGTCGAAACCAACACAAGGCACATGGCCCGCAGCTGGGATCGAACCCGGCATCCCGGCATTACGAAGCGTTAGCATTGACCTAGCCACAGACCCGACATGTCATAATAATAAAGCAATAATAAGTGTGGTGGTTAATATGTTATTAAAATGTATTTGCAATGACTTCCAAGATTCATTTGCAAGTGAAATATTGTTTTTGTAAACCATTTTTAGTTCATTCCTATGCAATTATTTATCCTCTCCTTAGAAATGGATTAATGATGAATATATGAGTTCCAATGTATTAATTTTACTACTTCTGTCCCATAAAGTCTTCAGTCCTAAATATTATTTATTACTAGGCTCGACTACATTATATAGAAAAAATAAAATAACAAGCGTCTGGACATGAAAGAGTTAACTATTTCAGAAGTTTCACAGCAGATACCCCAAAAGCTAAAAAACCAACATTTAAAAAATTATAAGTGCAATACTTCCATAGAGGCTACGTCTAAATACACAGGCTGAAGTGACCAATGGGGAAAGCATTGACCTCTTAATATATTCTTTAAAAACAATGTAAACAAAAACAAAAAAACACACACACACACAAGGTGATCAGTGAGATTCATGAGCAGCTAACAAACACATGTGATGGGACTGAAAGAGTTACTTTCAGTTTCTGCCATCTAAGAAAAACTAAAGCTAAGAGTACTTACAGCTAAGAATGCCTAAAGCTCAGAGTACTTACAGCTTAGAATACTTAAAGCTCAGAGTACTTACAGCTAAAAATACCTAAAGCTCAGAGTACTTACAGCTTAGAATACTTAAAGCTCAGAGTACTTACAGCTAAAAATACCTAAAGCTCAGAGTACTTACAGCTAAGAATACCTAAAGCTCAGAGTACTTACAGCTAAAAATACCTAAAGCTCATAGCACTTATACAGCTAAGAATACCTAAAGCTCAGAGTACTTACAGCTAAAAATACCTAAAGCTCAGAGCACTTATACAGCTAAGAATACCTAAAGCTCAGAGTACTTACAGCTAAAAATACCTAAAGCTCAGAGTACTTACAGCTAAGAATACCTAAAGCTCAGAGAACTTACAGCCAAAAATACCTAAAGCTCAGAGTACTTACAGCTAAGAATACCTAAAACTCAGAGTATTTACAGCTAAAAATACCTAAAGCGCAGAGTACTTACAGCTAAGAATACCTAAAGCTCAGAGTACTTACAGTTAAAAATACCTAAAGCTCAGAGTACTTACAGCTAAAAATACCTAAAGCTCAGAGTACTTACAGCTAAGAATACCTAAAGCTCAGAGTACTTACAGCTAATAATTCTTAAAGCTCAGAGCACTTATACAGCTAAGAACACATAAAGCTTGAGTATTTACAGCTATGAAAACTTAAAGCTCAAAGTACTTACAGTTAAGAATACTTAGAGCTCGGAGTACTTACAGCTAAAAATTCTTAAAGCTCATAGCACTTACAGCCAAGAATACCTAAAGCTAGAGTACTACAGCTAAGAATACTTAAAGCTAAGAATAACAGCTTAGAATACCTATAGCTTGGATCAACTACCCCTAAGAATACATGCTACTTTGAATACATACAGAGAAGAATACCTTTAATTAGAATAACTACACTAAGAATAACTACAGCTAAGTACACCTACTACTTTAAATAACTACAGCAAAGTATACTTGTTACTATGAACAACTATGGTTAAGAATAACTAAAGCTAACAATAACTACAGCTAAGTATACTTGTTACTACGAATAATTACAGCTAAAGATAACTACAGCAAAGTATACTTGCTACTATGAACAACTACAGCTAAAACTACAGTTAAGTATAACTACAGCTAAGAGTAACTACAGCTAAGAATGCCTAAAGCTAAGAATAACTACAGCTTAGAATACCTATAGATTGGATCATCTACCCCTAAAAATACTCGTTACTATGAATACCTACAGCTAAGAACACCTTTAACTAAGAATAACTGCAGTTAAGGCTACAGCCAAGAATATCTTCAGCTAGGAATAACTGTAGTTTCAAATAGCTAAGAATTAAATTAGCTACAAATACATACAGCTGAGAAAAACTGCAGCTAAGAATACTGACAGCTAAGAATACTGACAGCTAAGAATACTGACAGTTAAGAATGTGAATGTAGCTGAAAATGCCTAAAATTAAAAATACCGACAGCCAACAATATAAATGTGTTGCTAAGATAGAATATCATAGGATGAATGCTATAAATCCGAACATTAACAATTAGTGATATCATAGCACATTTGCTGTATATTAAATATTAGGAGTTACAGATGAAAACGCACCCAGTGATAATATAAGGTAAAAGGTAACCCCTAGGGAGCGAGCATGAGATTTCAGGATCAATGTTGCTGCTGGATGTATTTAACATGTTTATTCTGAAGACGCTAGGCTCTTAACCTATCTGCAATCATTTTCTCCTTTACCCCTATTCCCATCCTGACTTTACCTACATGTGGTATGTTCCATAGCATCCTGTTCCCATGCATCCACATAAATATTTTATTCTGCTTTACTGCGGTGTTTCCCGAACTTTTCTTAGTCGCAGCGCTTTTTTTCAATTAAAATTTTTCCACAGCACCCTAGCCTAAGTAAAATTATGACTATTCGTATGTAAGAGATAAAAAAAAATAAATAAAACTTGGGTATCTTAGAATATTTTGCAGCGCTCCTGCGAAGAGGTTGCGGCTTCCCGGGGCGTCACAGCGCACAGTTTGGGAATCACTGCTTTACTGGATATTATCTAGTACCTGGGTCAGTCTGAGTCAATTTTGAAAAAAGATCTGCCATGATACAGATTCAAACCCAAAATGTTTTAGTCAGCGAAGATAATATTTATGTGGAAGGAATAAATATCAGTGCAACAACTAATAAAATGCATAAAATCAAAATGTTTTATTATCAAAATCTTTTACTTATCACATAAAAGAGAGGTGTAGGGAGCTATGCCTGCCAACATCTGCTCTAGCCCAGGCAACTAGAGAAGGGGATAAAAAGACACAACAGACAAACAGTAAAGCAAAGTGAAAAAATCCTCCAAAAGTACCCAGAAAGTGCGGGAAAATGCCACCCTGGCTTCAGGATTCGATGAGGGGGAGAATCACAAACGCAGGGTGGAAGATAGAAACACACCTTGGTGCGGCTAACACAGTCTTGGGGACCAGGTATCTGCCAGAATAAGCGGACACCTTTGCGGTGCTATCTGCTGTTAGCAATAATATCACAGAGCAGGGTACTCACTGACCCTGGCAATCTAAATGATTCCTGAAGTTTGAGGTGCACAGCCATGTAGGCGTTGAAAGCAAAGGGGGAAACTATCACAAAATGCACCCCTAGAAACTCTAAATGAAGGATGCTTTTCACACTGGCGACACTTCAGGTTTATGATGCTATCTATACTCACATTTTTTTAAAGACCAACTGGCACTTGATGAATGATGTTGTAAACATTTCACTGTCCATGTTTACTTCCCAAATGTACAAACTGTGGTGGTACCCTTTCACGTCTTTATCCATTAGAATGAATTAGCAGATTTAACTTAACTGTTATGAGAAGAAATAGATGCAAGATCTTGGTAACAAATGGCAAAGTGATTTTTTTTTTTGGGGGTGGGGGTGGGGGAAGTGGTGGTGGAGAGGGGAAGACAAAGTGATAAATACTTGGATAGGTTGACCACATGAACTGGACAGGGCAGAAGCACTGAACTGATCTAGGATTCTGGTGATTGCTTTGCATGGCAAGCCACATCTGTCTATACTTACAGACACATGCCAACATACAGTTAACATATATTTTATTTTATGCTGCATGATGTGTCCCCTATTATGTACTTCTTTACTACCATCTTGTTTCAACTAAAAAATGCTTATCAATAGCAATGTTCAGACTAAAGACATGGATGGCATCAAAATATGTTCACATTTTTCAGTGTAGGAGACACATAAATGTTTACCTGCAACCTGGTACCAGAAAATGCTGAGTTTCTACTCCAACACTGTCAACTGTATACTGCTAACAGACAAGCAATCTGACCTATTGAAGCCTCAATGAAGACAAAGCTGTATGGTACACAGGAAGAGCTGAACAGCATGATAGCTGAAGTAAAGTTAAATCTGCTAATTCATTCTAAAGGATAAATATGTGAGAGGGTACCACCACAGTTTATGAAGGCTACCAACCTCCTGATAAGTTTTCTGATAGAAGGACTGAAGAAGAATAGCTGGTAATTTATAAATGTGCTTTAACAGCTACATTCACACCAACTGCTTCTAAGCCCTTGCATAAGCTACAAGACAAAAAAGTCATGACAATTTGACGAAAACATGTTACAACGAGGCTAAACTGTTATTTAGCCTTTCCTTGGGCAGCCACTTTGGCCTGTGCGGCTTTAACCTCCTCCTCAGAAGCCAGGTAGTAGTGCCTAACTGGCCGAAGGTTTTCATCGAGCTCATACACCAAGGGGATGGCTGCAAATGGGAGTATGAACAAAAATAGCAGTAGCCTATATAAGAATCACCCTGTTGCCAATACTTCAAAAAGTTTGCAAGTAAAGAACCTCTTCTGGTGCACTGAACATATGGTGTTAGACCCATACTTGTCAAGACCAATCAGCACTCAGTGAGCAGTGTGGTCAACATCACATCAGCTACCTCTACTTCCCAGGGCATGTCCTGATTCCCACTTTAGACTGAGTCGACAGAGAATCAAGGTCGATTATAAAAGATCCAACAACACTACTTTATAAGTGTAATAAAACAATACACACAAAAAAATTTTTTTTTTGTTAAAGCATAGTTATCCAATGGCAAATTTTTATAAGTTGACAGGAAGCCTGTGTGTAATTATCAAGAATCCAAATGCAAAAGAACAGCAAAATGACTGGCTGGACCCTAAAGTATTATTGTGTGCAATTTGAACAATTTCACCACTATATTACAAAGATTTTAAATGTCAAAATTATGACAAAATTATGTTCCTTTCAGTAGCTATTCATTTTTGTTTTTTGTTTTGAGTAGTAAAGTAAAGTGTCCTTGGATAACTAGACGTTGTTTTTTGTTTTGTGTAGTAAAGTAAAGTGTCCTTGGTGTTTTTGTTTTGAGTAGTAAAGTAAAGTGTCCTTGGATAACTAGACGTTGTTTTTTGTTTTGAGTAGTAAAGTAAAGTGTCCTTGGATAACTAGACGTTGTTTTTTGTTTTGAGTAGTAAAGTAAAGTGTCCTTGGATAACTAGACGTTGTTTTCTGTTTTGAGTAGTAAAGTAAAGTGTCCTTGGATAACTAGACGTTGTTTTTTGTTTTGAGTAGTAAAGTAAAGTGTCCTTGGATAACTAGACGTTGTTTTTTGTTTTGAGTAGTAAAGTAAAGTGTCCTTGGATAACTAGACGTTGTTTTTTTTTGAGTAGTAAAGTAAAGTGTCCTTGGATAACTAGACGTTTTTTGTTTTGTGTAGTAAAGTAAAGTGTCCTTGGATAACTAGACGTTTTTTGTTTTGTGTAGTAAAGTAAAGTGTCCTTGGATAACTAGACGTTGTTTTCTGTTTTGAGTAGTAAAGTAAAGTGTCCTTGGATAACTAGACGTTGTTTTCTGTTTTGAGTAGTAAAGTAAAGTGTCCTTGGATAACTAGACGTTGTTTTTTGTTTTGAGTAGTAAAGTAAAGTGTCCTTGGATAACTAGACGTTGTTTTTTTTTTTAAACTGTAGATAAACAAAATAACACAGCTGTTCACAATAGGTGTGCTGCAGAAAGGAAGACAATCCACAAAACTACATGGATATCAGGGGGCTAATTTCCTGTAAGATACTGCACTGGCTCTAATCCAGTAGATTAATTTCAAGAATCAGTTTTTAAAATAGAAATATTATCAGAATACCATGAATAAATAAGAAAAGAATCACTCTCATCCTAAAAGATCTGAACATCAATCAAGAAAGGTTGGCTAGTAAAGAGCACCTTGTCTCAGAAACTGAAATAATCTATTTGTGACAGATTGGGAAAATATAACAGAAGAATGTACATAGTACAGGAAAGAGGGGTAGTGGCCGACCTACACAAAGATGAGCACAAGATATAAGGGACATTTGGGTTGTTATAGTGCATTAGGCAAGTCAGCCAGTGAGAGACGGAGTTTCTTTCAGGCAGACAGTGATGAGAGCAATGTTCTGCAAAGGACCTGCTGCATGATGATGATGTTTTTAAAAAGCATTCTGAAGGACTCCTTAGCCATTGTAGATAACTGGGAATATGGTGAAAGAACAATTTCCAACACATTCAGGTGTATTAGGTCTATAGTGTTATCCTCATTTCTTTAAAAAAAACTTATAACTTTTTGGGTAATATACAAATATCACTATGGCAGCCTTTGCTTCTTTTAACATTTCCTGGTAACTATTTTTAGGCTGGGCTGACATGGAAGCACTAGGCCATTTCAAAAATCATGATCTGAATGCAAGATGGTGGACAGCCATGCAAGCTTACTAGCAACCTCACTGCCAATGCTCCCTTTAACAACCACATTTTTATTGAAATTTGTGAAGAATTTTAATGGCTACTTCTCGCTTGGTTGAATGTACGAGGGGAAGTCAATAAGTAAGTCACAAATGGGTATGGAGGGCAGGAAACTGTAGTTGGTAGTTTCTAAAAGTTTCATTAGCTGACTGCACCAGCAAACTTTATGTCTCAGTTCATTAGGTGAGCTAGATGTTGTGTGCAAATTCACAACACAGAAACAAAATGGCGACTCTACTTACAGAGTGTACCCTCAAAGAACAAAGTGCTGTTCTGCATATTTTGGGCAAAAGTGTTGCTTACAAAGAATATTCATAAGGAAATACTTCCTGTTTATGCAAGGTTTAACCCATAAAGCGGTGCATAGCTGGGCAAAAATGTTTCTCAAGTACGCTTTAAAATTGGTAATGAAATACGATCTGGTCGTCCTGTTGAGACTGCAAAGGATACATCCGTGCAGCAAGTGGAGGAGATGATTAGAGGTGACAGGTGAGCAACGGCTGACTCTGTAGCAGCTGCAATAGGGTGCTCACATGGTTCAGCATACAATACAAGGCATGATCAGTTAAAATTTAAGAAAGTGTGCTCAAGGTGGGTACACAGACAATTGATGGACGAACTAAAAATGAATCGATTAGGCCTGTCCTTGCAGCTACCCTATCGAAACGCAGATAAAGGAGAAGACATGCTGAACAGGATGCCTACAGGGGATGCATCATAGGTGCATCACTACCAGCCCAAATCAAAGTGTGCTTCAGTGCAGTGCAAACATCCTTCTTCGTCTTGTGTTACAAAATTCAAGGATTCGCATCAACAGGGAAGGTTAAGCTGACAGTTTTCTGGGATTATAAAGGAGTGCTATTAATACATTTTAAAAAAGACAGGTGAAATTGTGAATGCTAATTCATACTGTAAAGTTCTATCGATGCTTCATGATGCTTTTCGAAGAAAACATCCAGGCCTGCTGACTAGAGGAGTACTGCTCCTTTATGACAATGACAGACCACATAAGGCTCGGTTAACTCAGGAAAAAATTAATCGTCGAAGGTGGGAACGTCTGGGACATCCAACTTACAGCACCAACTTAGCCCCTTGTAATTTCCATCATTTTGGTCCACTGAAAACCCACCTTGGTGGGAGATATTTTGCGAATGACGCAGAAGTTGAATGTGAAGAAAACACAGCATGCAGTTCTAACAGCAAGTTTGGCAGGAATGATAAAACAATGGAACAAGTGCACCAATGTTGGTGGAAATTATGTTGAAAAATTAAGGGACAGAGTATGTATTTAAATAAATGGTTTTGCTATCGTCTGTAGACTTTCTTTAAAAACTATCTGTGACTTACTTATTGACATCCCCTCATATTTATTCACTCATAAAAAAATTTAATGCAAAAGTATTCTCTCATTTTTAAAATTTGACCAAAGACACTGTTGACCAACAGATCTTCCAGAATATTTTCTTGGAGCCATTTTAAAAGGATGGATTGACTCTAGAGCCTTAAGGTATCTAAGCAATTTCAACCGGCGGCCACAAAAACTATTCTGTATAGTTGATACTGGACTGATCAGTCTATTTCGCACACATTAATGTAAAGTAAGTATTATCTGCAGGGCAAGCGGGTGTGTTGGGAAACAAACAGACAGACACATTAGTTGGTTCTGCAACACTACATGGTAAACTGATGAATGACATGCTAGATGTGGTCAAGGCCCTTTGGGAGAAGGTGGAGAATGGCTATTCACAAAGAGATAATTTCAGTCTGCAGAGAATGGTGCAGTGGAAAGTGATCAGAGAATCTGTTTGACACTAAACTCAGAGGAAACGCAAGATGGAAATATTATCAAACTGCTAATGGCACCATCGGAAATGAAACTATTCACTGGCTGCTGAAGACTGGGGATCGGGTGCTTATGGGAATATCCCATAATGCACTGGCATAAACTCCTTATTTAAACAGAGTGCTTATGTGAATATCCAAGAGCACTGGCGTAAATTCTTAACTAAACTCGAGGTGAAGTAGGTGAGTTTTGATAAAGACCAATATAGATAGGTTCCCAACATGAACATATAAGAGACTGGTGGTCATTGGTTTCCTCTAGGATTGCTGTTGGCAGGATCAGCCACTCAAGGATTTCAATCAAACAGGAGCAAATCCCAGAAACCATGTTCAAACATTTAACACAGTTATATTATGACACCCCTGTGTTCCTAAGTAACCAGCAGTCCAAAGTGGAGAAAGGAATTATGACATAAGATAATCATACTGAGTGTAAAGTTAAACACTGTAGAGTAATTAAAAAAAAAAAAAAAAAATAAAGAAAACATAATTGCCATGCAACAGACAAAATCATGTATGCTTTATAAGTGGCACACTTAATACAAACAAAATTGTAACAAAAAACACAGATTATTCATTTACAATGAATCAACAACGTAAAATGAATTGCTTAAAATTTATAACATTCATTCATTCACTGTCAACTATATATCACATATGGTTTGCAGTCTGTTCCTCCATTCCTTTCTTTCCCTCACTGCAAACACTTCGACATCATGGATGGAATCAAGTCCAGCACCACTGACTTCTCTTATTAGAGTTCGCTCTAGGATTTTTCTTAGACGTCCTCAATTCCTTACTTCTATTTCCCATTGTAGTGCCTGTTTGGTAATTCTCAGTTCATCTCTTCTTAGAATGTGTCTAATATAGCATCATCTTCTCTGTCTTATAAGTGTTGATACTACTGGTTGCTCAGACTCTTTTCTTATTTCTGAACTGCCCTCAAATTCACCTAATTTTATGCTCATCATATAATATAGACACACACACACACACACACACACACTTAATATTTTTAATCTGGAGTCAACTTTCATTATACTATGGTTATTTCAGTCCAGCTAAAATGTTACAGATGTTATCTCTTTCTGTACAGCCTCAAATATTTACATCCTTTTGATTTATTTACTATGTGAAGTTTATTTGAATTATAATTTTTAAATGTTAAAAATGATCAGTAAGATTTCTTTTATCAAGAAAATAGAACAAAGGATTTGGTAATTAAAGCCACTTGCACTCTTTAAATCCCAAGGAATGCATCACGCACTAATCGGTTACTACCATGCAGCCCAACCGGCGTGTGACGCGAACTGGTTTTTTATGTACTACTGGCCAGTATAACAGTGCAAAATGGCAGTTTTTAATGGTATTTCTAGATGTGGTCACACTAGTTGACCAGTAGGTTATTCGGAAACGTGGTTAAAAGCATAAAATATAGCATGCTTGTGGGCTTCACCGAGTTACTAAGTGTCTGTGTGAAAACAATATGGCCTCCAAGCAGAATTCTTCAAGCAAGCCAACATGCCTCATAAAAAAGCCTCATATTTAAATAAAACATGTGTTCATCTGATTTATCTGAAGCTAGACAAGGAAACTTACAAAGTACTCTTGTTTCAGTCATGGACAGAGTCAAACTTTGATAAGGGACAGCTCTGATATATATATCTAATGCAAAGCCTACAATAATAACATAGTCGGCTGGTACAAATGTTAGTGAAAATTGCAATTTTCTTCATTGACAGTTAGGTCTAGTGCAATTTTCTTATTTTTTTCAGAAATATAGGCTATAAAATTATGAGCAAATTGAGTGTTATATCAAGTTCGTTTTTAGTATACAGTTTTCGGTAGTCATTTTTTTAAAATAAAAAAGTTGTGCTTAGTTTATCTGGAACAAGATCTAATGGACAGATTGTGTTTATATTTTATTTATACAATACTAATTGGTTTATGTTCATTTGTGATTCATTTTGGATATATTTTATCGAGTTTCCCTCGAGTGCCATGGTGGTAGGTGGACAAATTATTATTTAATTTTTTTAAACTTACCAACTGTTTATTTACTAATCTTTAACTATGAGCAATATTTATTTATTGTTCTTATATTATTCCTCAACAATCCCTGGTCACTTTGATGTATAAAATATGTGTATGCTGCACGGAGGTTGAATTAGTATGGTCTGTTTTAATGTGTTACACTTGTGACATTTCAAAACTGCATTCTGGTAATCTGGTAATCTTAGTTTCAGCTTCATAGCAAACGGGTCGCCCCATCTTTGCTCCGCTCCTGTGCCAGCGAAAAACACCCAGAATGTTTATCACAGTCCCTTGTGGAAAGATTGACAAACTGCTGTGTCAGCATATCTAGCATACACTCGCATTAACGCATATGGTAGCCATCCGAAGTGCTAACACAAACAGTCCAACATTAGAAATGTAGTTCATCATTGATGATAGCAGAACTTGTCGCCAACAGATCAGCAGTTGCCCGGGCGATCAATTTTAATACGGGTCCCGCCAGCATTGCACGACCGGCATCGCGCCATTTTCTGAATCTACAATTCACACCACGTTAGTCACAGTCGAAAAAACATTCCAAATGCAATCCGCAGCTCACAGGGTCACGCCATGCATTCAACTCAGAAGCTGGGCGACGAAACTATATCCAGTCTACAAATGGAGCAAAAATACTTCGGCCACCGTCCGGCAGAAGCAAAAAATTTGCCTCCGCTCCGAACAGCACCGCTGTCTAGCGTCCATTTTAACCGGAAGTTAAAACTGCATTACCACCCTTGGGCCTCTGATGTGAAACCCTCTAAGATTCAAAGAGTTGAAGACCTTTTCCGGATAATGTATAAAATAAATTTTTTTTTTTTTTTTTTTACATACTAACAAACTTTTTTCCTAGATAGAATGCACATACGATATGTAAGATGGCACATCATAGTGAAAACTGTTACTTATTTTAAACTGCAGTAACATAAACCTGTGACAACAAACACATTTTGATGTGAATTTTAGAACTGAGTCTGTCTGCTTAAAGAAATTAGCACACAGAATGAAAAAACTCTTCTCAACTTCTTAAATAATTATTCATTAAATTTTGACATTCTGTTGTTCAATTCTTTTCTGTGTGTATTTACTGTGTTAGAATATTTTTATTACTTGCAATATGCAACAAAATGCTTATAAAAAGCGTTGGAATATTTTTGTGGCCATAATATAACCACAGCACCTGAATACGTCTGCTAAATAAAAATAAAGGAAATCTAAAATATACTGTGTATTTTGTTTAGCCATAATTAAACTACATAGCTGAAAGCCATGAGTCTGTCTTTAGACATCATTTCTGGAGAATTCATGCAGATTAATTCACATGTTTGGAAACATCTGATTACATCACAGGCTAGAGGAGAATGTGGATGACAAATGTGTCAATGCTTTAAACAGGAAGACATCAAATGATCAACTAAAAAGAGATACTGGGATCCATAGGTTGGAATCCACACTGAGGCACATTTTAAGGCTTCCAGGTCAAATCAGCCTAAAAATGGTCACCAGGAAATGTTTTTGGTTAATAAAGACATAAAACAGGATGGTTCAGTTTTACTGATACAGCCTCGGCTATTTTTGGTAAATGTCTATTTAATATGTATACCGATAAAATCCCCTACTGAATGTCGACTGGTCTATAAACTATGGCACTAGCACCATAAACATCATACACCTCAAAGAACAGACATGGGTTCAGAACCAACTGCTGTAGAATACACTGAATTATACACCCAAAGAAAGTAACATTAAACATTTAAAACACCAACAAACACATTATCAAACAAAGGGAGGCATGTGAAATCGTGAAGCACATACAAATGTATATTTTGAAAAGGCAACACTGCAGTTTTTACTTACCTGTAGGGAGATTGAGGGAAACTATGTCATTGTCTGAGACATTGTCCAGGTACTTGATGAGGCCTCTCAGGCTGTTTCCATGGGCAGCGATCAGCACTCTCTGTCCACTCTTTCAGTACACAAGTGAAGGATACATACAATCAGTTCCTTACATTTAACATACACATTACATACAAGAGAAAGACACATAAATCAATTCCTCACACTGAACAACAAATATGATCACTTCCTCACACTAGACAATATAAAAAACCAATTTTCTGAACTTTAACATTTATAGAACTCACAAGAAAAAAGATTTGTATATCAATTCCTTGTATTCCCGTGTTGGTTCTGGGGTCCTATAATAGGGAAAACAAGAATAGACCCACTGCCTACCCAAAAGCATGACGTAAGAGTCGACTAATTGGGAGTTTCCTTCAAAGTCGGAGTGCATCTGCCTGAGAGGCAAGGAACCAGATCTGTAAAACGGATGCACATGCAAAACTCAGGTTCTGTAACAGGACTGTAGTCCAAAAGTGGATGAACAACCAGAACTTTCCGCCAGAGTTTACAGCTGGTGAACGCGAAGAAGAAGAAGAATTCCTTGTACTCTCCATGTGGGTTCTAAGGCCCCATTTTGAGGTAACAAGAACAGACGTACTTCGTCTCTAACAAGCATGTTGTAAAAAATGACTAATCAGAATGAGAGTCCAGCATTATCAACTGCTCAGCCAGCCACTACTGATTACTAATATAAAAAGTGGCTATGATAGTGAAGCACACTGATCTAGCAATCATGTGTTTGAAACTCCAAGGTGGGGACTTAAAAAACTGACCTGGTCACCAAGGTTAAGTGGGTTTAACAGAAAGACAAACAAATAAGAAAAAAAAAAAACGTTACTCGCATATCTTTTACATGATGCTGGAGAACCAACCCCAGTGATTTTTAGCTGTTTGTAGTTTCACCAGGTAATTTTGAGATCAGTAATTTGCCAGTGCTTTCTACATAGTAGGCACTTGATACCACTGTCAAAACCAAACTGAGGCTCTCAGCTGTCAAACTGCCCACAGATGTGATTAAAAGAGACACCCCAGAATGACACAGCATTGCCTAAGCCACGGACACTGACCCGGTGTCTGTTTACTGGGCTAACTAGCCTAAAACTGGATCCAGGAAATTTTCTAGAACGTAAAGGTGGCTAGCTGAAAAAAGTGACTGGCATACGACTGACCTTATCACCCACTGTGTTCTGGCTGTTAATTAATTACAGATATGGGGCTAGAACTGTATACCTAACATGCTTTACGGCAGCGGTTTGCAGCTTTGGGACAAAATTTAGGTGTCCATGATACTACTTAAAATGTAAGTGCAGGCAAAACTCAAGTTTTGGAACAGGACCAAAGTCCAGGAACTTTCTGCCAGTTTACAGTTTATAAATGCTATGAAGAAAAAGAAGACTTACACACACAAAAAAAAAAAAAAAAACCATCAACCCCTCTGCCTGATTCTAGTACAGATTCACTCTTAGTTTTTTTAATATGACTATTAAAAAGTATGGGGTCTGTGTCAAACCTTAAAAAATAAGTAGGTCCACAGGTTTTATATTATTAAGGTGTGGATCACGTTCCTTAAGTTTTTTTTTTGGAATTACTGTAATAAATTACAGACTACCTCTACACCCCAAAGCAGAAGAGGATCAAGGAAGTGAACTGAAGTGAATTACAGACTAGCTGTTAGGCTTGCTGGCTTCCATATGTCACTCACCTTAATGGCAGGGACAATTGAATCATACCAAAATGGCAATGTGCGAGCGACTGTATCTTTTAAACATTCACAGGCTGGGATCATGCCTTGGTCCATATGCTGGGGTAAAACCAAACCAATCACATTAGAAGACCAGTAATATATTCCATAGGTTAAATATAATCTTGATTATTATTAATTTGACACATTACTGATTATCAGTAAGAAGCTCCGAAAAACAAAACATTTAAAATGTAACAGGGAGACATCATTACTTGTTTGTGAGAAGTAGGTTATTACGCAGAGTTATGATGTACTGAAAATCAACAAGTTTTGGCAGCCTTGACATTCCCTTTTCCAGAATCTTCTTTTCCAGCCAAAACTAGCTGTTGACATCAAACTGAGGTTGTCTGGCCTTGACCTTCTTTCTAGAAGTTTTGAAATGCGTGTGTTTCATCATGTGACCCAACCTTGTCTTACTAATAAATACCTTGTTGTTGTGCCCTATCAAAGCAAACGCAATTGTACTTGTTTTCTAGAAGGACAGCTGTCAATTTAACTACTATAGTTGCGCAGAAAAAGATGATGAAATCCTATGAAATCGAGATATTTTTAGAGAACGTACATAGTAAACAAGTTTGGACGTACTAAAATATTCTAGAAGCAGAAAAAGTGAGAAGAAAACAAATAACTAGCATTCCAGCATCTAAGTATAAATACTGGGTAAGAATCCACTCAGGAGAATTCTTCAGTCCACAAGACTCAAGAGAGGAGAGACCAGTCACATTGACTCTCAAAGCAGTCTTTAGTCGTAGAGATGTCAGCTTAACTCAAAGAATGCCTTCAGTCGTTGAGACTCAGAGGACGAGCAACTAGTCTCAATGATCCTCGCAGTTTTGGAGATGCCAACTCAACCCTAGAAGGAGAGGAGCCAGTCATATTTAGCCTTGAAGACAGAGCAGACATGAAACGAGACAACAAACTACAGAGATGACATACAAGATACGTGGATCCATGGTTAACGGTGACACATTAGTTAGGAACACTACAGAGATGTTAGAGTCGACGATCAAGCCGTCAGTATCAGACAACAATAGAAGCCAAGTGGCAGTTACAGACACTAGAAACAAAGCAACTAGAGAACACAACGCGAACCTACGAGTATTTAGCCATAGAGAGAACACAACACTATTCAGAATATCACTGATGTTTGTAACATTACTGAAGTATCACAATAAAGACAGTATAGACAAGAACGGTTGTTTCCAGACATTTTATTTTACAAGCATCAGAGTCACGTGAGAAGCATGCAGCTAGCAAGATATCATCATCATCATCATCACCACTATCGATATGACCATCTTTCTCCACTCGTCTTTAATCTTCCAATCGACTCCTCCTGTAGCAAACCTAAAGACGAACCTGGGTGTGACAACAACATACGCAACGAAGAAGAGAACTGTGCTACAAAAATTCTTTTTGTTTTAATTATGTTTACAATCAGGACACCCCAGTCTCACAAAAGAGAGCTAGGTAATTAAAAAACAATTACTGCCAACTGATTTGAGAGGAAGCTTGTGAGAAAACGAACTGGCCAGTCAACCTCATTAGGCCAGTGCAAAGAATATACAAAAAGCACACACTTCATACCATAACTGCGGTTACCACAGCGCAAATAAACTTAAAAAGAAAGCACATTTTTTTAAATTTTAATTTAGTAGTATAACTGTAAATCTGCTAAAATTAGCAATGAGAATACTGAATTCACGGCTAATTATGGATGAAATACATTCCAGACGGTAGTTTTTATGTGAGTGTCTGGAACAGCAACTGATTCAGTGACTATAAAAATAAAATCATGTTTACTAAATCATTAAGTTAGACTAAACATTCATTCACTGGTGCTTGCACAGAACAGACCCGAGAACTAGATGGGTCTGGTAAATCAAGGTTTCAGCAGAGGATGCTGGCATCCAACAGGGTCGGTGAAGAATGGTTTGCTGATCACTGGTTTGAGAATCAACATTACAAGATGACAAGCATACCCACAGATGCTTCGTCTATTGCAGAAAATGTTTTAAGGCCTGAAATATTGGTTTCCTTCCAAGTCGGTGGCATGGAATGACTGTCTGCATACAAATAGGCTACATCTGTCAAATTGATATGCACGCAAAATTTCAAATTCTGAAACAAGACCAAAGTCCAGAAATGGACAAATAACCATAAATTCTCACCGGTGAACAAGATGAAAAAGAAGAAGAAAAATAGAAGAAGAAAAAGAAGAAAAGGTTGCTCCAAAGCACATTGATTCTTATCTCCCATTTAATTTCAAATGTACACATCCTTACATCTAACCTTGTAGCTTTTTCAACAGCACTCATTTAAACGGTCTTTAGAACATCTCTTTAATACAATATAAGTGTTCTTGTAGCTATCCCTTTGGTTACCAACAAATCTACTCATTCATTACTTTGCAAGTCCCAGAAAGAACAACTGAGAGTCCCTATAATTTCAAGTACAGAAAGTAAAATACAGGGCCTTTCTCCTGCCTTGAGATATGACAGGAAAATGGTTCTAGCTTCATATCTAGACTAACTATCACCCCATGGCTGATGTGGTCAGAATCATGAAGGCCGCAGTTACTTAACAGAAAATCGGATGGTATGCATTTAGGTTGAGCCAACATAAGAATCCAGGTCTATGGAAGAAAATCTCTGAGGATATATTCCCTACGCATTCATAACTAACTTATTTTACTTTAATTAATCATCATCCAGTTTCGTCCTTCTTAGGATGAAATTTTTTGTTATTTGAAGCCCCACTCTGGCTTTTGCCAGGGGCTGCAATATAGGCAGGCCATAAATATGGCCAATTGTCTGAACACGGTTTCTGGGACCTCTCCACGGCGATCCTCATCCACATGGTGGCACGTTGTGTCATCGGGTGTTTATCGCTTGTGTGATGTCCTAGTGGGGTAGAAAGTCAGTCAGTCAGTCAACTAACTTATTAGGAACTTACAGCATACTGTTTGCCTCTTCCTGACCATCGTTCGTCAGACTTTTCAAGTGGTGGAGGGGGAATATCATAAGATCGGCGCCAAATCTGAAATATCAGTAACACATAATTATACGCTATTTACTAAACTAAATCTGACATCTTCTTTTTTTGACTGGTAAAACAGAATATCTCAAGAAACAGCGAGCAAGCCAGTACTGACATCACAACAGATCATATGGCATTTTCACAGTGAGTGACAGCTGCAAACAACATCTAGTTTCATTTCTCTCTTATGGTGTAAAGTCTAAAGATAAGTCTAGTAGTCTGATCAACTACATCAATATCAGGGTGGATATTTGTTACTTAATTCAAAAGAGGCTAGCTTTAGTGGATCTACTGCTGTCTGGTGAGACCCCAATCTTGTCCACGGTGCAACTCTCAAATCACTGTCCAAAAGGCACATAATTTGTTTTTCTTCCTTAACCATCCACAGCAGAGGTCAATCCCTGGTACATCAAGGACTGTGAAGAGCACTCACTAACTCTAAGCCACAGAACCACACAAATGTACTTTACTTTATAACATCCTCAGGTTATATATTCTGCAAAAACATCTCAGGTTTTATTCACATACATAACTCTTGAACAAGACTCAGACATCATCCATCCTAACTCTTCTGCCAGGTGCTGCTCTGTTTTACTTGCTTTTCTTTTCTTTTTTTTTCTTCCTAAAATTACTATAACAACTCTGATTTAGTCAAGGAAAACTTCATTGCAAACAGTGTGGCCAAAACAAAACATCTCAGAACTACTGTATTACATATAATTTAACACATGTGACAAACAAGTTAACAATGAAAGATCCTACTTCCATGTCATGTGGATTACTGAGTTATACTGTGCTAGGTTAATACTTTCAGACCATCTAGCAACTGATCAATAATGTGATAGGCAATAATTTCCCTATAAAGCAAGCTGACCTAAAATTACACGGTCATCTACAAAAGATTTTAAAACTAGTAAATATGTCCATGACAAAAATTAATCTCTAAAAAAAAAAGAATCACAACAATAACTATGTCACCTGAACTTGATCCTCGCCATATTTTGCGGCCGTTTCTGATTTGTTTAGTCCCTGAAGTGCCCCATAATGCCTTTCATTGAGCCGCCAGGATTTGACAACTGGAAGCCAGTGAATTTCCAACTCCTCCTGAACAAGGTAAAGAGTCTTGATAGCCCTCTTCAACACACTTGTGAAGGCCAGGTCAAACTCATAATTTCCCCTCTTTAGCAGCTGCAAGAGGCAAAAGTAACAATTTGTATCCACCTTCTCCTTGACTTACGATGTGACTTTCTCTATCTGCACTTAATACAACAGAAACAAATTATTAAAACAAGTAAATAAAGAAAAATAACCACACATATGTTGGCATCTGTGGCTTAGGCGTTGCGAACGCGCGTAATGTCGGGATGAAGGTTCGATCCCTGCTGCGGACAGTTTGTCTTGCGATGGTTTCGACCGTGGTACCGACAGCCGACCGTCCAGAAAGCAATGGCAAACTAATGGATGTAAATTTGCCTAGAAAAACCACAACAGCCAGAAAGTGCTGGGATTGTTCTGCAACAGCCAAAAAGTTCTGGAACTGATGTCTAGAGTGTACACATATGCCTGTTTACAATAATTATACGTACACAGATTACAATCTTGTGTTTTAAGTACCATTTTTTTTAACCTGTTTGAATTAAAATAGTGTTGACAAATAGAAATTCAACTATTAACTAGTTCAGCTAATGACCTGTTAATGGGAACAGAGTTTGGTCATAGGTCGAGGGGACACTGTATAAGGTACTATTATTGCAAGGCAAAATTATAATCGAAATCACTTTAAATATGCTCACAGACAGAAAAAATAATCTGATTTTCACAATTATTTGAAACATATTGTTGTAATCTATCATATTTATCCATACACTTCAATCTTGCAATTTGTTATTAATATATAATCTATGTCCTGTTAAAAAGCCAAAAATATTAAACAAACATAAATATAAATTATCAGGAAAGACACAAAATATATACTCCAATTAAAACCCAGAAGATATGAATTAGGTATTTATGATTAAATTGCTAACTATATTTATGATTAAACTGCTAACTATATTTATGATTAAACTGCTAACTATATGTGTGATTAAACTCATAACTATATTTATGATTAACCTGCTAACTATATTTATGATTAAATGGGTAACTATATTTATGATTAAACTGCTAACTATATGTGTGATTAAACTCATAACTATATTTATGATTAACCTACTAACTATACTTATGATTAAATGGCTAACTATATTTATGATTAAACTGCTAACTATATTTTTGATTAAACTGCTAATTATATTTATGATTAAACTGCTAACTATATTTATTATTAAACCACTAGCTATAGTTATAATTAAACTACTAACTATATTTATAATTAAACTACTAATTACTACTAATGCAACTACTGCTAGTACTTGTAGCAGTAATAGTACTTAGTATACTCTGTGGCACCTTGAACTGTAGGTTACTTTGCAAGCTATACTCTTGAAATCTGCTATAACTGACACTTATAATGTATGCAACATTATAAAGTCAAACATTTCTAATTAACATTAATATCAAGTATCAGTAAAGATATCACTATACCAAGCACTGAGTCTCTCTCTCTCTCTTTATATATATATATATATATATATGTGTGTGTGTGTGTGTGTGTGTTGTATATATATATATATATATATATATATATATATATATATATATATATATATATATATATATATATATATATATATATATATATATATACATACATATATAAAATAAGAGATGTATGTGTGCATATAAGTGCATGTGGTTTTGTGTGTGTGTGTGTGAGTGTACAGAGTAATGTAAATACAAAATAACAAACAATGTACCCATGTTTACACGTACCTATGTACATATAGTATGATACACAGTGTACTGATGTGTTAGGTGTAAACTCTACACACAAACTCTTGATCAGCATTCAATAACATACTGGGATGAGCCAGGAATTTCAAAGCGACCTCACAATACAAACAGCACCCTTCCTTCTGCCAAGAATATCCTAAATGAAAGATTGTAACGTAATATTTACTGTTTGCTACCTAGACGACCATCAAAATCTACACTCCCTTTTTCAATAATCATTAACTCTCACCACAGATCGTATTGATAAAGTAATTAAACGAATAGTTTTATGCATATGTAAATCAATATGTTATTTAAATAATACATAATATTAACCTCACCTCGCCGGCGTATTTGGCTTCTATAATTCCGGTATTAGACAAATCCGCGTCGTGCCAGCCACAGAACAAGTTCTTCTCGTTGTAAACACTCTCTCCGTGTCGGATAAGAACAATCTTGTACTTTGTGGACATTCTGCTGGCTGTATTGATCAGAAAGAAGTCTGCGCCCTGTGCCGCTCCAGATGGCTGCCTGCTGCAGTTTCTGTCAGCGCGACCTTGATTCCTAACCGGTTTCAAGGCCTTGGCATTGTCCTCTAAGGTCAAGTCTCATTAAGGGAGGTAACTTCTATGACAATCTTGTTCATAAGTTTTTGGTTTATTTCCCTTGTTGCGAAGTGCAAAGAAATGAGGAATTTGATAGACCTTTAGATAAAGCTAATAAATGACTGACGTTTAAACCCAACAGGACCGCACAAGAAGCGATTAACACCCGATGACACAAAGTGCTATAATTCAGAAAAGAATTCCCCAAGCGCAGTCTCCAAAACCCTTGCTTGCTTGATAGAAGGGAAAAAAAAACTTGCTTCTAATTATTTTATCATCCCTTTGTGGCATGCAATTTTACAGCATCCTTTCTCGAAAGCTGAAATATTTTGGTCATTTCAAGCGCCACGAAGGATTGGAAAAAACTATAGCAGAAGGCATGGTACCAGGAATGAGAAGCAGGGGCCGACCAACACGAAGGTGGGCACATGATTTAAGTGACTCCTTGAGTATGAAAATACACGAGGCAGGAGAACTGGCGAGAGACCGAATTTCTTTAAGGCAGACTGCGATGAGAGCGACGTTCTGCAAAGGACCTGCTATATGATGATGATGACTCTGGCTCTTGCCAGGGGCCGCAATATAGCCCGACCATAAATATGGTCTAATGGCTGAACGCGGTTTCTGGGACCTCTCCACGGGTGATCGTCATCCACATGGTGGCGCTTTGTGTCATCGGATGTTTATCGCTTGTGTGATGTTCTGGTGGGGTAAAAATCTACTACTACTGCTACAAAATTAACCTGTACTTTTCAATGGGCCCTGGGGGCCTCATAACTGAGTCCGTTGTCTTCTTCTTCTGCCTTTCTATTCCCCAATGGAGCATAGACCCTCAACCAACTCACGCCAAGTCGTTCTATCCTTCGCCATTACATGGAGCTTTCCCCATGTCCTCCCAATCTTTCTAACCTCATTCTCCAGCTCTCTTCTCCGTGTTTTTTTTTGGCCTTCCTTTATTCCTATGCCCCTGTGGGTTCCAATGCAAAGACATTCTAGTTATGCTGTTCTCCTGTTTTCTCAGTGTGTGCCCTATCCAACGCCAGCGTCTTTTCCTCACCTCCTGATCCACTGGAGCCTGTTTAGTTCTCTCCCAAAGTTCTACATTAGTTATTCTATCATACCATTTTATTCCCTCTATTCTGCGCAGGCACCAGTTAATGAATGTCTGTAATATATTAGTAATTGCCTTCGTTGTTCTCCATGTTTCCGCCCATACAATAGTACTGATTTGACATTAGAATTAAAAATTTTTAGTTTAGTATTTCTTTTAATTTCTTTTGAACTCCACAAATTCCCTAGTGCTATGAAAGCCCCTCTTGCCTTTTGTATTCTTATTTTAATATCTCTATCAGTTCCTCCATCTTTATCTACACTACTGCCTAAAAAGGTGTACGACTCCATAACTGAGTCCGTTGTTCCTTTGTGGATTTAATTGTCCTTCCTCTTGTGGCATGTTGGCACGCCTGACCATTCCTGATTGGCACATGGATGCCACTGGTTAATGAGCTGGTTTCTATGGTTTGTGCTGTCAGCTCCTGTACCAAGGCCGCCTCCCAGAAAATATCACCGAAGCAGACAAGCCTGCCACTGGGCGCCACTCACAAGGCCCCTTTGAGGGTCTCATATTTAACTTCTTTTGGTGCTTTTATTTTTTCGCATCATTCAAGTGTATGTGCGTGAGCTGCTTGTCCTTATTCTGTTTTTGCCTCAAGTGCTTTTTTTTTTTTTTTAAAGTTTTCTTCTGGCCACACATGGTATTGTTAGTTAGTTAGTTAGTCGACAGATTATCATCATTGTAAATTATCCTCAGCAAATCCCGCAGCGTGTAGTTCTGTGTTGGTTTATTATTATTCTTGGACTACCCGCGTATTGTTCTTGTTTGGCGACATGTTGTTTTTGTAGTCTGACCATGGTTGCAGATTCACATTTCTTAGTTGGTTCACGTAAACGTCCTTACTCTCTTAGAGCATTCAGTATGTCAGCCTGGTCCATGGCTTGTCCGGCTTTCACTGTAGCCTTATCTGCAAGCGAATCAGCTTGCCTATTTATTTGTACCCCCACATATTCTGGAACGAAAATGAAATTAATCCTTATCAGCCATGAATTCTCTAGAGCCACTAACCACTGCCTTTGGACCCAGCCATCTTCTATCTTCTTGAGCATACTCATCGAGTCACTGAGAAAGCATGCCCCAGTGAAAGTCTGTGTCTCTAGCCATGTTACTTCTTTAGTCACAGCCATGACCTCCATAGTCAGACTACTTGTAGTTACTGCAAAAGCTTCAGAATCTTCCTTCACAACTCTCCCTCCAAACTGAGCCGTGAAAGCCCACGAGCTTCTAACATGGCAGATAACAGAACCATCTGTGTAAATGACAGCATCACCCTCTAGAACGTTCTCGAAAATTAAGGCTTGAACTTTTGCTTCTAAAGCAGCCGAACTCTGTTGTCTGTTTTTTCTGTCTAGTTGGATGCAAACAGAAAAAGATGTACAGCACTCTGAAGGTACTTGCCTCCACTTCTCGTCGGGTTCTATGTCCTCAAGTGAACATACCCGTAAAATAATGTCCTCGGCTTGACCCATCCACGATTTGACTCTTTTTAACCTGCTGCCTTTCATCTTCTCGAATTGACTATGTAATGGATGTTGTGTGTCCGCCTTGACTGAGGTAGGCTCGAGCTCGGAAAATTTGTATTATGTCTTCCATGGTTGGAAAATCGAGGAGGCAGCGCAAAGCCCTGCATTCAGCATCTCTTGTACACCCAAGTAAAATGCACATGGCCTCGTTCTCTATCCTTTCCATCAGCTTATGGCTGAGTGTCAGGATCGCCATCGCGCATTCAAAAATCAGAAAAGAACAGACCCTGGTATAGAAGACATCGATGACGCTGCTCACAGTTTGCCGCCGCCATCACTCTCATTGCAGTCAGACCCCGTTTGGCTTTCATTATAATCTGATGTGTGTACTCAGTATAAGAAAGTCTTCGATCAAAATGACTCCCAGGTATTTCATCGCAGTCGTTCTTTCCACATCCTCAGAACACAGACTAACTGGTGTTGGAGTTTGTACAATACGGCTATTCAAAGAGAGCCATGTCACTGTTGATTTCGTTGGGTTGACCAGTGCATCAGCTTGATAAACATGGTATAGAAGTAGAGGCAACATAACAACAACAACAACCAAAAAAAAAAAAAAAAAAAACTGGAATGCTTGAAGTCTGCGTTGGACATAAATAAAGTAAGGTCGAGGGAAGAAGGGTGAAGGATAACTTGCTAGGTAAGGACAAAAGATATTTGGTTCGGGTGACTCTGGCCTTGAAATTCTGGTAGGACATCTGGGGTCTAGATTACCGTCTGTCCCCTCTGGTGTTAGGTGAAGCATGCAGCACCGCCTCTGGATCACTGATGAATTGTTTCACCATTTTTTGTATTAGCGGGCTGCTGTTCACACGGAGGCAAGCTGTGGTTGTCATTGGTTGATTGTTTTTTTTTTTTCAAAGTGGTTTTTCAGTTCAGCTCTGTGCTCTTTGAACCTGTCGCAGGTGAGCAGGCAGTGCTCCACTTTTTTGAACTCCCAGCACTCGGTGCACATAGGGCTACTGGATTTTTTTTCCCAGTAGCCAAGTCTAAATCTCCAGAGCGTGTTGGTGGTAGGGATCTTCGCTGCTTCCCTAACTTGTGACCTGGTGCTGGGGATTTTTAATAGCCTGAAGGCTTCTCTGCCTTTCTTGCTAGTAGACCACTGGTGGATCCATTTTTTGTTATTTGTGTGTGTGTGTGCAATGAGGGCCAGGATTTGTTCTAAGTTATCTGGCCGGCTGCTTTTGCCAATTGATTTTAGCGCCATTACAGCTGTCAGCGAGTCAGTGAAAATGTACATCTTGATGGGGGAGGGAGGGGGTGGGGGGGGGGGGGGTTGGGGTGGGTTTTGTTTCGCCTACCGCTGCTTCGAGGGCCTTCGGGATGCCTATTAATTCCGCAGTGTAAACATCTGTGTTATCAGGCAGTCTGAGGTTAATTTCTCGTGACCGGTCAGGTATGACGAGACCTGACCCAGCTTCCCTGTTCTCGTTCTTGGAGTCGTCTGTGTAGGCTGCCAGGGCACCTATTCCTATCCTGTTGATGTGCTCGTCTGCTTTTTTCCTGACTTCCCTGGGATCTGTATTTTTTAGTTCTAGTTTAACGAAGCTTGTGTCGGTTGTGGGTAGTACAATCAACCAAGGGTCAGTGACCGTTTGATTTTTTTGCAACTGGTGATTACGTTTGCCCCATCGTCGAATTCTAGTTGCCTGGCGACTAGCCACGCAGTCGGTCTTCGAAACTTTTAAATGGGTTTGGATGGCCCCTCCCAGGGGTAACGGTTCGGTTGGGGAGCTCTGGTAGCTGGGTGGCCGGGGTCGCGGCAGACGTTGTTCCAATAATTAAACGCTAACAGCTTAAGGCGGACAATTCACAACGCGACCCCCATAGCCTCCCTGCAGGCTCCTCTTCCCAAGGCTTGGCCTTGGATTTCGTCCAGTTTTTATAGGATGTTTTGGCTCGCCGCCCAGTAGATTATTGAGCCTTAGTCAAGGTTACCCCTTTTAAAAGCTTTATTAAACATGGTCATGGTGATAGTATGGGCTCCCCAGCTGGTGCCTTTAATGAGGACGTGTTTCCTCCAGCTCAGCTGCTTGTCTAGCACCATGGCTAGAAACTTTGTGTGTGGCTTTCTCTGAACTGTGCGGCCATTGATGTTGATGCAGCTTTCATCCAGTTGTACCTTTCGACTCCCGTATTGTTAAATATCATCATATCCGACTTGGCCACGTTGATCTGAAACCCTAATTTCCTCATCCACTTTGCTTTATGGCAAATTTCTTTCTGCATGGCGTCGCAGGTGGTTCAAAGGCCTGAATTACTGTACCACAGAGCAGTGTCGTCGGCAAATTGGGATAATTCCACCTCATGGTTTTTAATCGCCTCCATCATGTCTTTGACTAGGATGTTAAAGATGATGGGGGAGATAACCGATCCCTGAGGGGTGCCGTTCTCCTGAATGTGAGGCCTGGATACTTCGTTATTCACTGCCACTGAAAATGTCCGGCCGCTAAGGAAAAAGCTTCCCACATACCGGAGGGTTCAGCCTCTTATTCCTAATTTGTGCATTTTAACTATCGCTGCTTCCCTCCAGCATTAGTTGTAGGCTTGTGCTAGTTACAAGAAGACAGCGGTAGTTTTTTTTGGTCTCTGTCTGAACCCCTCGACGTGGCCCTCAAGCTTGATAATCTGGTTCACAGGCGATCTTTCGGCGCGGAATCCCGACTGTTTATGACTGATCCGATTTTTACTCTCTATATGGAAGGTAATTCTATAAAACAACTAACATCTAGAAGATTTTGCCTAGGTGGGAGGTGAGGGAAATTGGACGATAATAGTCGATGTTCTGAGGGTCCTTTCCAGCTTTGTGGATTGGTACGACATTGTCTTACTCCTGATGTTACTGGGAACCAGTCTGTGAAGCCAACTCTTGAACTTTCTCTATAAATAGCTCTTACACAATCCAGCACTGTTCCATTTATACCATTGTTTTCAAGGACATCCCATAGTAAATCACTCTGTCAAAAGCCTTTTCTTGATCTATAAAAGCAATATTTATTTGGTATCTGTGTTCTATTGTCTTTTCGCTAATTTGCTTTAGGGCAAAAACAACGTCAGCACACCACCCTTTTCTTTTCCTGAATCCGACCTGTACTGGGCTCAGAATCAGTTCTCCAAGAGATCTAATTCATTGTTCCAGAATCTTGGCATTCATTTTACCTACCCGGCTTAAAAGGAAGATGCTCTATAAGTTTTAAAATCTTGCCTCCTCCCTTTTCTTTTCCATATTGGTACTATAATGGTTCTTTATCAATCTATTGGTAAAGTTCTTTTATTACAGGCTTTCCTAAATATAAGAAGTAGCCAGATGACTCAAGTTTCTTCACAGGCTCTGTTAACAGTTAACATTGACAGTTCCCCCTTTATTATTAAGACCATGTTTTCTTGTAACATGGAGCTATGAAAAGACTAAGAATATGTCATTTCCAAGTGTCCCCCCCCCCCCCCCCATGGAACACCTAAAAGTCTTGTCTTTTCTCTATCCAATTCTCCAGCCCCGTGTGCTTTCATAGCCAGTGCATCTTCAATGTCCTGTAACCATCTTTGCGAAGGTCCATGGTATTCTAAGACTTTTTCCGATAGTTCAAAAGCTCCAAATTTGTTCTTCACAGACTGAGTGTTAGTCCATGACTCACATCCAAAAGTTGGAATGGAAAAGATGCATTATCTTTTTTTTTTTTTTTTAACTTTGACTTGCTTGCAGGTGTTATGCCATAGGTTCTTCCTGCGGTTTAGATAAATAGAAAGTTTACAAATAAACTTACCAGTAAAACAAAACAAAAACAATGGTCAATGTTAAGGTCACACCAATTTTATTTTTTACCTTCCAAGCTCTTGAAATAATAATTCAAAACGTTGTAAATTTGTAATTATTTATGCAAACTGAAAGTTTTTGTCAGTCAAATTTTCTGGCGATTTTGAAGAAATGTTAGAATGAAGCTTCAATAAATAAAATAAATAGATTTTCGAGATGGTTTTTCTCCATTCAGAACTCGACAGTTCAGCGTTTTTTATGGAGAGCTCTCCTTGACCCTAAAAATGTAAACAACGCCATTGTTTTCAAATGAGTAGCGTGGTACCACTGTCCTGGACACGGTTTCCCACTTTCCTTCCTTCTCCAGTTGCTGCATCAGAGGTTCCAGTCTGTCTTTGTACTCTAAGACAGTGGTCAGGTAGGCTTCTCGCATGGCAATGATCACTAGGCCACCTGTAAGGAAGAGCAGAGATGATATTTTACAAATGATGAACCACGAGTTTTACACATATTATCAGACAAATATTTCAGCGAAGGAAAAAAATCAAAGCTTTCGAACTGATATGATCAATTAAAATGTTTAGAACACCATGCACTACAGACACAGCCTCCATGATCTAAGCATTCGGGAGAACTGGCTCATAAACAGTAGGCTATCCTCTCCTGAAGGCTGAGGTATTTTGGTTGTGTTAAACTTTACGCTGGCCTAAACAGAACAGTGGTGGAGGGTACAGTTTTCGAAAAACGAGGAAGTGACAGACCTCCGCGAAAGCAGATACAAGACAATGAAGACGCATCACCTATGAAAGCATTTATGGTTAGAGCGCTGGTGAGAGAAAGGGAGACTTTCAAGTGTGCTGTGGCGACAGCTATGCTCTGTATAGGACTTGCTGACTGAGGATGACTTCTGGAGACGATAGCGTAAAAACTGAATCTGACAAACAATAAACTTTTCATTATAAGGGTATTGTGACCCTGATAGATTTAATATTTAAAGATGTGTTTACTAGCAGGAGGACACTGCCAGACTTGCCAAACAGACTGGTTGTTAGATACACATAAACAGACCAATTACAGGCAAACAGACTGGTTCTTAGATACACATAAACAGACCAATTACAGGCAAACAGACTGGTTCTTAGATACACATAAACAGACCAATTACAGGCAAACAGACTGGTTGTTAGATACACATAAACAGACCAATTACAGGCAAACAGACTGGTTCTTAGATACACATAAACAGACCAATTACAGGCAAACAGACTGGTTCTTAGATACACATAAACAGACCAATTACAGGCAAACAGACTGGTTCTTAGATACACAGAAACAGACCAATTACAGGCAAACAGACTGGTTCTTAGATACACATAAACAGACCAATTACAGGCAAACAGACTGGTTCTTAGATACACATAAACAGACACCCAACACCCCAATAAAAAAAAAAAAAAAAACAATAACAGAACCAATAAACGTATGGCGAGTTATTGAGCATAGAAACAGTTTAGTCATTTCATCATGACCTAGTATATGCAATTATACAGTGACGTTTCACGTCCCTAAACGAACTGTTTGTTACCGACTATTTTCTGCCTTATCAGTTAAAGTTAAAATGTCATGCTGCCATAAATCATACCTTACTACCTATTATTTGGATAGGTACAGAATTATCACAAAACTGAACACAAATCTCCTTTAAATTAGATCAGTACTACTAATAAAAAAAAAAAAAAGGAAATTTCGGTAGTGCTTGACTGCTGGCCAAATGGCAATGAATTTGAATTCCTGCCAAGGTAATTTAAAACAAGAATTAGCATGGATTCTTGGGTACAGTCAACTTAAAAATTGGTACCAGTAATTATTCCAGGAGCGATAGTAAATGCTAAAAACATGGGAAGAAATGGAAGAAGAAGAAGAAAAAAATAAGAAGAAAAAACAGAAAAATAACAACAAGAAGAAGAAAAATAATAATAAAAAGAAGAAGGAAAAAAAAAAAAACAGAAGAAGAAAAATAAAAAGAAGGTATGATGATGTTGAAGGAAAAGGAGGAGGTTGAGTATGGGGGAGGAGAAGAAGGTGAGAGGATGACGAACATAGATTGAAATGAGGGAGAGTAGTAGAAAAAAGGGGAAGTAAAAAGAAGAGAATAAGTAGTGGATGAGCAAAGAGGATATATCTTAAGTAAGGCATGACCATGAAATTTCACTTACTGAAAATGCAAATTACGATAGATGACACATGTATGGGGGGAAAGAAATGCTAAAAATAATGTCGCGATTTAGGGATAACAGAATGAAGGACATTCGTGACTATGTACTTTGCACATACATGCCAGAGCCAAGAGTCCTAAAACTGCTGATCTTGGTAATATCGCTTTTTTAGTCCATGGACTGTGGTTGTAGTAGTTAGTCCACATTACTCTCTCGAGTACTTTAAATAACTGCTGATATATATGTTCTTCTTTGAACGATGTCAAACCGTACAACATATCTCTCTCTCTCTCTCTCTCTCTGTGTGTCTCTCATTTGTCTCGCCTCCCTCCAGCTTTCCAGGTTTCACTGCGTACCTCACTGACATCTTACATAATCTCAACATGGAAGAGTATGGGCTGATCACATCACCCTTTCCCGAAAGCTGAGCTATTCTGGACCCGTTATACGTCATGGCAGCCTAGGGAAAACGGCTATGCCGGGTACAATTGCCAGAAAACTAGGCAAAGGCCGACCTCTAAGAATGTGTATACAAGACCTTGACGATACATTGGCTACGAAACAACAGTACATAGGACTAGAGAATCCTGGTTATAGAATGAAAGAATTTCAGACGTGCATTGACCAGGACGACTTAAAGATCTCGATCTCGCTAACTGAAGATAACGAATCTTTATTTGTATTTAGTTTCATAATTCACTTCTTGACTACATCAAACACTCAACTGGCTCAACGACAAGAATGTGCTCAAGCAAACCACATAGGATAAGACTCTCCCCCATGCCTCCACTTGTTACACTACACCCAAGAATGTTTTTTTAATTTACAATGTTACAGGAATTATTTTATAATGCTTATATGTAGGGGTATATGTTAATAGATTTGCACACTTTGAGTTTTAAAAAAAATCGTGTTTGTCATGGCAAATGCTGGAAGAAAAAAACATGTACTTAAAATCCTAAAATTTCAAAAACAGGCACAAAGGTATTGAAAAATAGATAATGGATTGATGATATTTAGTCCTATGTTTAGCTACAGGTGTAGTTTATTCACTTTAAAGGTGTTTCTAACTATTTTTCTTCGAATTTTAAAATGTAGATTTGTTTAACAGGTTAAAAAAAAAACTATAGCACCATAAGACAATTATCAAATTGAAAAATCAAAACTTACTAAAATCTACTTTTAAATAGACCTGTCTCTATAATATTGTTTAAGCAGTAACACCAAATTTACATGTTTCTATTTTTTTTTATTAGCTGAGATTTTAGGATTTTACACACACACAACAAATAGAAATATAGATTGCAGAAAACTGACTTTTAAACTTTTTGTTCCTTAAAAAAGTGCACTAGGTGGTGTCTTTAGTATTAACTTTTCAATACTAAATTGTTAGCTATCCTTGGATTAACGGGCACTAAAGATGGTGGCGGAAAATTATCCGCTCGAGCCGCGGTCACGTGTCAATTGCGCCCTTACGGCTACTTAATTTGAGGTTTTCCGGCGACAATTGCTACCTCCACGTGGCCCCCACGCCGCTCACCCGGCGTGGATTGAGGCTAAACTAGATGGCTAGGACTCACAAGCAAAGCTGCAGTAGATGCGGAAGCTGCTGCTTGTGAGTCCTAGCCATCTAGTGACCGTGACTCGAGCGGATAATTTTCCGCTGCCATCTTTAGTGTACGTTAATCGAAGGATAGCCAAATTGTTTACACATGACATAAATCTTGTGTTATCTGGTCGACTAATGCCAAACTTTACAAAAACGAACAAATTGAAAAAGTGTTATTTCTGTCATAAATTAAATAAAAATGCTGTGTAGTGACCCCTTAAGTCATTAATTGTAATTCATTACATAATTCACTTCTTGGTTACATCACACACTGACCTGGCTTAACTACACGAATGAGCTCATGCAAACCACTACATGGGATATGCCCCTCTCCCATGCCTCCACTTGTTACTGCAACATCATAGTAATCTGGAAACAATAACAACATATGTTATTATCAATTGTTAACTGAAAGTCGTCAGCACATTATAGATTAGTTGCCCTGCATTTGCAACAATCTGTTTCTTGCTCTAGTTGCGACCGGCTTAAGACCTCTGTCCCTCGATGCAGTGTTACCATTTTTGCATCTTCGTGGGTATCCCTGGGTACCTGTGGGTAACTGAGGGTATTTGTGTGTATCAAAGGGTATCTGTGGGTAGTCGAGGGTATGTGTGGGTATCCGCGGGTTTTTCTCAAAGTCCATGTTATGGAGCGTTGGTAGTCATGTTTATCCACAACCCTCTGTCTCGTGTAATTCCGACCCAGATGATCCTCCATGCCATGATTTCAAGCATCTTTTCTCTCGGTCTCCCTCTATTAAAGCATTAAGGTTAACCGTTGTGTGTGAATTGTAAGTGTTCAAACACAGTGTGAATATTAATACGACAAGACAGAAATGCACATACAAAAGCCTAAATTATGAAACAATAGGGGGAAAATAAGCAGAAAATCTATAGACAAAATTATGTAAACCTTTAGCATGAAATAAATATTGCATTGTATGGAAGTGAACAATCTCTGTCGGTAAGACAGCAATGTTATTTATTCAAGGGAGTTAGAACCAGGTATTCTGTAGATCCACGTTGTTTGTTCACTTCTGTATCCTCGCCTCATCTCTTCTCATAGGGAGTTAGAACCAGATATTCTGTAGATCCAAGTTGTTTGTTCACTACTGTATCCTCGCCTCATGTCTTCTCATAGTAAGTTAGAATCAGGTATTCTGTAGATCCACGTTGTTTGTTCACTTCTGTATCCTCGCCTCATCTCTTCTCATAGGGAGTTAGAAGCAGATATTCTGTAGATCCAAGTTGTTTGTTCACTACTGTATCCTCGCCTCATCTCTTCTCATAGGGAGTTAGAACCAGGTATTCTGTAGATCCACGTTGTTTGTTCATTTCTGTATCCTCGTCTCATCTCTTCTCATAGGGAGTTAGAACCAGATATTCTGTAGATCCAAGTTGTTTGTTCATTTCTGTATCCTCGCCTCATCTCTTCTCATAGAAGGTTAGAATCAGATATTCTGTAGACTTACTTTGTTTGTTTACTTCTATTCTCAGTGTCTTATTTCCCTCTGTGAGTGCTAATGATCACATATCGACAGGCGGATCTGATGAGCCGAACGTAATCTAAGACACAGACTCACCACCCACTGGGATTTATTCCATACAACATGAAAACTCTCCAGGCTACACATTATCTGCAGTTCCTAGACACGCGTGAATCAATATCCGTGACTTTTCTGTACCTCTGTTTTTATAGTTTGCGCGCGCGCGCGTGTGTGTGTGTGTGCGTGTGTGTGCATGTTCGTGCGTGCGTTTTTTCCCCTTCTTCGATATCCCAGGTATTTCAACAGAATGTCCTCTTATCGATCGATGTCGCCGTCTCTCTCTCTCGCCGTCTCTGTGGCTCACATCTGCCTCAATCAGCCCTTTCCCGTTTCCTGAACTCTCGCCCCCGGGCTTGCTTGCCAACCTAGTATTAGCACTGCCATTAATGCGAGATTGATTCTAGTGAAGCGTAAATGTTTTATGACAACGGAAACATACCAGTGGGTGTCTTCATGTTCTGACTCAGTGTCATCAGTTCTAACCAGCATGCACAGTTGTCTCACACGCACGCTCGCATGCACGCACATACACACGCAGAGAGTATAGTTTCCAACAGAGTGTGTCTCTTATGCCTGGCTGTGCCGATCTTTACCACATTCGTGGTCCCATCAATGCTCCGCGCATGATTACCTTCTCTGCTTTCTCAAATCTGCCCTTATTACTCTGACCCTGCGAGTTTCATTGTAAAGACACTAGCTATAGCATTATAATAACACGAATTCCAAGGGACCAACAAGAGTTCGTGTTTAAAATCCATTCAGTCAGAGACTCATTGGTGTATTATTGAAAATAATATACTGGGATAACAACTGTGTTCATTTTAACCCAAGTGTTCGTCTTAGGCGAGTTCATATCAACGGCCTTATGCCGTATCAGATTTTCTCAGCGTATCCTATACGACGCTAGAAATAGTAAATGACCCTGTTCCTCGCCTTCCTGCCTTGTGGGCATATCAGGCTAGACCTATATATCATAGATCAATCCGCATAGGTGTCTGATGTGGTCAACATCACGCCGGCTTTCTTTACTTCCCAGGACTATATCTAGAACTCATTCAAGATCGGGTCGACCTCGCAGCCAGGATCTCAATACCGCTGTGGAAACCAACATAAAGCAGTCTGTTGCCAAACCGTCTACAGCTGGGTCCGAAAAGGTACTCCGCCATTACGAATCGCGTTTGCAAGCCTGAATGAAGCCACAAACGCCGAGAGACTAACGAGGCCTTAGTATGATCGGAATGTTCGTCAGCACAAGGGTCACATTTAATAGACTGGTCAGGTGTTAGTAAAAAGGGAAAGTTTAGTCAGAACAAAAAGAAACTTACTAGATGACTGAGGTGTAAATTTTATTGGAACGTTCGTGAGGACAACTGACACATTTACTGGTTTGGTGAGGCGTTATTATTAAGGGAAAGCTCATGGAGACAATGGACATATGACTAAATTTGTTACACGTTATAAAAAAGGAAAGTTCATCTGAACAAGAACTAAACAACTAAATTTGTTAGGCGTAAGTATACTGGAATTTTTATCAGTAAAGATATACATTTGCGAGATTAGGGAGATAAAAAAAAAGTACAAAAAGACAAGGGGCGCACTTACTAGATTGTTAGGTGTTAGTATAACGGGAAAGTTGATGAAGACAAGGGACACACTTGATAGATTTGTGAACTATTACTAAAATGGGAAAGTTGATGAAGACAAGGGACACACTTGATAGATTTGTGAACTATTACTAAAATGGTAAAGTTGGTGAAGACAAGGGACACACTTGATAGATTTGTGAACTATTACTAAAATGGGAAAGTTCATGAAGACAAGGGACACCCTTGAAAGACTGGTGAGGTATTAGTAAAATGGGAAAGTTGATGAAGACAAGGTGCATACTTTCTAGACTGGTGAGACATTACTACAACTGGAATGATCATCAGGACAAGGAACAGATTGACTAGACAGATGAGGCGATATAAAAATGGGAATGTTTATGATGATGAGAGCTACGTTTTCTTTAGTATAAATGGAATGTTTGTCATTGCAAGGGACATACTTAACTACATTGTGAGACACCTGGGAATGTTTGTCATTGCAAGGGACATACTTAACTATATTGTGAGACACCTGGGAATGTTTGTCATTGCAAGGGACATACTTAACTATATTGTGAGACACCTGGGAATGTTTGTCATTGCAAGGGACATACTTAACTATATTGTGAGACACCTGGGAATGTTTGTCATTGCAAGGGACATACTTTATATTGTGAGACACCTGGGAATGTTTGTCATTGCACTGGGGACATACTTAACTATATTGTGAGACACCTGGGAATGTTTGTCATTGCAAGGGACATACTTAAACTATATTGTGTGAGACACCTGGGCATGTTTGTCATTGCAACGGGCACACTTAATGAATTGTGAGACACCTGGGAATGTTTGTCTGGTGCAAGGGACATACTTAACTACAATGTGAGACACCTGGGCATGTTTGTCATTGCAACGGGCACACTTAACTATATTGTGAGACACCTGGGAATGTTTGTCATTGCAAGGGACATACTTAACTACATTGTGAGACACCTGGGAATGTTTGTCATTGCAAGGGGACACTTACTATACTGTGAGACACCTGGGAATGTTGTCATTGCAAGGGACATACTTAACTACATTGTGAGACACCTGGGAATGTTTGTCATTGCAAGGGGCACACTTAACTATATTGTGAGACACCTGGGAATGTTTGTCATTGCAAGGGACATACTTAACTATATTGTGAGACACCTGGGAATGTTTGTCATTGCAAGGGACATACTTAACTATATTGTGAGACACCTGGGAATGTTTGTCATTGCAAGGGACATACTTAACTACATTGTGAGACACCTGGGAATGTTGGTCATTGCAAGGGGCATACTTAACTATTTGGTGAGACACCTAGGAATGTTTGTCATTGCAAGGGATATACTTAACTACATTGTGAGACACCTGGGAATATTTGTCATTGCAAGGGGCACACTTAACTATATTGTGAGACACCTGGGAATGTTTGTCATTGCAAGGGACATACTTAACTACATTGTGAGACACCTGGGAATGTTTGTCATTGCAAGGGGCACACTTAACTATATTGTGAGACACCTGGGAATGTTTGTCATTGCAAGGGACATACTTAACTATACTGTGGGACTCCTGGGAATGTTTGTTATTGCAAGGGACATACTTAACTCTATTGTGAGACACCTGGGAATGTTTGTCATTGCAAGGGACATACTTAACTACATTGTGAGACACCTGGGAATGTTTGTCATTGCAAGGGACACACTTAACTATATTGTGAGACACCTGGGAATGTTTGTCATTGCAAGGGACATACTTAACTATATTGTGAGACACCTGGGAATGTTTGTCATTGCAAGGGACATACTTAACTATACTGTGAGACACCTGGGAATGTTTGTCATTGCAAGGGACATACTTAACTATACTGTGAGACACCTGGGAATGTTTGTCATTGCAAGGGACACAACTATACTGTGAGATAACTAGCAGTATTTATCATTGAGTATCCTTTACATGACGTTGCAGAATCAACCACATCATTTTTGGCTGTTGTGGTTTTTCTAGGCAAATTTACGTCCAGTAGTTTGCCATTGCTTCTCAACGGTCCGCTTTTCGATACCACTGTGGAAACCAGCGCAAGGCCTGCAGATGGGATAGAACCCGGCATTAAGAAGCTCGCTCCCACCGCCTAAGCCAAAGATGCCGACATTTGTCATTACAATACACATAATTCATTATATTGTGAGATAATTAGGAATGTTTAGAGGACAAGAGGCACACTTACTGGACTCGATCTTGATCGGTTCCCCGTTGAGGAATGAAAGAAATGTTCTGTCATAGATGCCTTTTGCTATGGCCAAGTTGAGCATTCCCTCGCTAGGCTCTAGAGCATCTATCTTCGTAAATCCTCTAGCTTTGAGCTGTGGATATTTTCACAGAGATATTCAGAATATGGTTTAGAACAAACGAACAAGCTAACCGTATTTCCCAAATTAGGCACGCAGGCCTGTCTTACCGTAGGCCCTTTTAAGAATTCATCTTTCATACGGCTACTGTATTTTATATATCAAGCGTATTTGTTCAGTATCAAAATTCATAGTATGAATGTAAAGTAAAAATATAAAAGCATGGATGACAAATGCGTACCTTCAAATATACATGTAAAAATACTCAAACATCGCAGATACACACACAAACACAGCGCACATACACACAGAGGGGCAAACACTGACGGCACAACCCACACACAGTATAAACAGGCACACACAATAATAGACAGAAGATATACACAGATACATCACATAGAAACCCACTCAACACAAATACACAGACAATAAACACACACAGTCACAACACGAACACACAGACGCAACATATGTCCTCTTACAGACACAACATAAAAAGGCATATGTCCTTTTACAGACACAACATAAAAAGGCATATGTCCTCTTACAAACACACTAAAAAGGCATACGTCCTCTTACAGACACAACATAAAAAGGCATATGTCCTCTTACAAACACACAAAAAGGCATTCGTCCTCTTACACACAACATAAAAAGGCATATGTCCTCTTACAGACACAGTATAAAAATGCATATGTCCTCTTACAAACACACAAAAAGGCATATGTCCTCTTACAGACACAGTATAAAAAAGCATATGTCCTCTTACAGACACAACATAAAAAGGCATATGTCCTTTTACACACAAAACATAAAAAGGCATATGTCCTCTTACAGACACAACATATACACATAAACATAACCAAAAGACACAGACACAATACATACATACAGACAAAAACACACTGAGTTACAACACGTACATGTAATCTCAACATAGGCACCCAAACACAACATACACACAGAGACAACACACATTGACACAACATACACAGATGTGTGTTTCCTCACAGACTCATCACGTATACATAGGAATAACCAACAGACACAGACATAATACATGCACACAGATTCAACACATATACACAGGCAACAAACACAACAGTCACAACACGTACATACAGACACAACATACACAGGCACACGTCCTTTGACAGACGCAGCACATATACACAGACAAAATTACGCACAGTTACACAGTCACAACAAGTACACAGTCAAAACATACATACACAGACAACACACATCGACACAACATACACATACATACGTCCTCTCACAGACACACCACATATACACAGACAAAAAACGCACACAGTCTTAACAAGTACACACAGACACAACATACACACATAGACAACACACATCGACACAACATACACAGGCATACGTCCTCTCACAGACACAACACATAGACACAAACCAATATACACAGACACAACATATACATACATACTCACACACAAAATGCATAGACACAACTCATACACCCACACAGGTAAACAGGCACTCAATACTCAAGAGACACAACCCATTTACCGAAACAACTACACGCATGCATAAACACAACACTCAATGACACACCATTCCCAACGCACACAGACACAATAAACACATATTAACTAACAGAACACACAACACTCATAGATACCACACATACAAAACGCTCACTGACACAACACTAGCAGTTACAACACCCACTGAAACAACACTTACAGACACAACACTCTCAGAGACAAAGCTTAATGCTTAACATTGTTGACATCATTGTCAACTGTACTGACAGGTTATAAGACAATTATGGTGTGGCTGTTGTAATTTCCTTCACACTTTTTAATTGCAAGCTCTCTCTCTCTCTCTCTCTCTCTCTCTCTCTCTCTCTCTCTCTCTCTCTCTCTCTCTCTCTCTCTCTCTCAGGAAGTCGCTAGACGCTCGCCGCGGATCGGAAGGTCGTGGGTTCTACCCCTGGCGGAGCCGGACTTTTTTTTTTTTTAAACGACCTTGGCTTCCAGGTCGACCAAGCCTTGAGTGGGTACCGGGTGCATTCCCGGGAAGTAAAAGCGGCCGGCGTGATGCTGACCACATGACCCACCTTGTGCTGATTGGTATTTAAAATATAGGTCTAGCCCTATATGTCTAAAGGCGTCGAAAAAGGCCCTTTACTTTCTCTCTCTCTCTCTCTCTCTCTCTCTCTCTCTCTCTCTCTCTCTCTGTGTACATGCGAGTGTGTGTGTGTGTGTGTGTGTATGTATATGAATTCTGATAGGAAGATTGGGCAAACTGGAGAGGGAACTTGCTACCCCCATCAGAAGAAGATACTCCGAATACTTCGAATACACCATGAGAGGCATGAGACTGAAGGTCCTTGTGACAACAGAAAAGTTAGGGGGAAGAAACTTAGAGGAGGCCAAGGGGGATTTCAGGCAGGGCTTCATGAGAGGAAAAACAGACTGCAAACAGCAAAGAAAGACAGACCGACTGATAGACGGTTTCATCGAGATACATACATACCAACAGAAAAAACAGACATAACACAGACCGACAGAAAGTGGACAGACAGACAGACAAAAGACAGACAGACAGAGTTAGACAGTTAGAGAGATAGACGGGTGAATGCATGGATAAAATAACAGACAGACAGACAGACAGACAGACAGACAGACAGACAGACAGACAGACAGACAGACAGACAGACAGACAGACAGACGTAAGGACAGACAGACAGACAGACAGACAGACAGACAGACAGACAGACAGACAGACACACAGACAGACAGACAGACACACAGACAGACAGACACACAGACACACAGGCGCACACACAGATAGACACACAGACACACACGCACACACACATACACACACACACACACAGGCACACACGCACATACATACACACACACACAAACATACATACATACATACATACATACATACATACATACATACATACATACATACATACATACATACATACATACATACATACATACATACATACATACATACATACATACATACATACATACATACATACATACATACATACATACATACATACATACATACATACATACATACATACATACATACATACATACATACATACATACATACATACATACATACATACATACATACATACATACATACATACATACATACATACATACATACATACATACATACATACATACATACATACATACATACATACATACATACATACATACATACATACATACATACATACATACATACATACATACATACATACATACATACATACATACATACATACATACATACATACATACATACATACATACATACATACATACATACATACATACATACATACATACATACATACATACATACATACATACATACATACATACATACATACATACATACATACATACATACATACATACATACATACATACATACATACATACATACAGACAGACAGACAGTCAGACAGACAGACAGGCAGGCAGGTACGCAGACAGACAGGCAGGCAGGCAGACAGACAGACAGACAGACACACAGACACACAGACACACAGGCGCACACACAGACAGACACACAGACTCACAGACACACAGGCACACAACAGTCACTGTCATTCTCATTTTCTTTTTACACAATAAGCTTACGTCATTTTGTAATTTTTTGGGGGAAGGGTTCCCACCCTAATGTCAAAATACAAAGCCGATTCTCCTCCTTTACTGTCTATTGTTGAACAGATTCTAAACATTGTCTTGGTGATCTGCTGTAAACGTGTACATTTAGCGTGCTTCTTGAAGTGTGATAGCTTAGGTATCGAAATCTTATTTATTGCCACTGCAAATGAAGCCGATACGCCTGATTATGTTTACCCTATTGAGTCACCCTGGGAATAATAGGATTGTTGTAGCGTTCAATAGGCACTCAGTTCGGGATTATATCCTTTCTGTTAGCTCAAACGAGGATCAATTAACGTCATTTTTTTTTGTTGGGGGGGGGGGGGGGTAGGGGGGGGGGGGGAAGGGGGGAGCATTTGAACGGTAGCTTATAATGTTATTGGGGTGTCAGCTCTTCCGAGCAGAAGCCCCTAGATATCGTCAAAAATTGCACGGAGAGATCTTCATCCTGTTGCGCCGTTGTAAGGCTCCCAGTCCATTCATCCTTCCCGTTGTATCCTGTGCGTTATTTTAACATTGCGTAGGGACTCCAGCTGGGTCACTCCTGGCTTCTCTCTACACTCACAGTAACTAATTGTTGTTTCTTACCAACTTTTTCTCTTCCCTATAATTTTCTACTCCTTTTTAAAAACTACACTCATCGTAGAATTTTCTCTAGCACAGCGGTTCTAAACCTGCGGGTTGCGACCCTTTTTTGGGTTAAACCAGCCTTTCACATGGGTCGCCTAAGACCATCGGAAAACACATATTCATTGAAGTTGTAAAGTAGTAACGAAAATAATTGGGGGTGGCTACAACATGGGGAACCGTATTAAAGGGTCAGCACAACATCAGGAACTGAATTAAAGGGTCACGGCATTAGAAAGGATGAGAACCACAGCTCTAAGACGTCCTCGTTTCCCCAATCCATTTATTTCCCATTAAATATGCAGACAACAATAACTATTACAAATATAACTAATTTTTCTTGGTGTTTACTGGCTGCAAACTCCGGCAGAAAGTTATGGTTTTTCTTCTATTTCTGAACTTAAGGTCTGCGAGCAAACGCGCTTTATAAAATTGGCTTGTTTGTATGCAGGTTAATCGTTCCTGGCTTCCCGGGCAGATGCACTCCGACTTAAATGGAAACAATCCTAATTAATCGACTTCCATGACATGCAAATTTGGAGGTTGTGATAGGGGGGGGGGGAAGCAGGGGGAGCAGGGGGAAGAGAGGATAGGACGTATGTATAGTCTTCTTCTCCCTAAAAAGGAGTTCGGAAACGCACACGAAGAAAATATAAGTTGAACAGCAAGAAAAGCAAATTAAGGTAGCCTTGAAATACA